ACCGCTCTTTTATTATGAATTTTATCGATGCAAGATTAACGCGGTGCAATTAAAAGAAGAGTATAACGGACAATGAATGATATGAATGATATGAATAAAAGCAAAGAGAGAGTGCTCTCAGGAGAAAACAAAGACAAAGACGAAGGCAAAAATGTTTATTTTAGAGCAAGAGCACGAAGCAAAAACATATTTTGCATTTCGCATGAATAAAAATTATTATTTTCAAACGAATGCGAATAATTCGAACCAAGTATTTTTACTATTGTAGTATTTATATACTCAACCAACCTCCTCCGACCTCTCTCTCTAGATAAATAAGTATAAATTTATAATCTTTAATTCGTAATATTTTTCATACTTTTCTGTTTATAGCAAATTTTTTATATATGACCTCTTATTTTTATTTCGTCACTAATTTCTTTCTTCAATATACAGGCGTTTCACTGGTAGCGAAAAGATTAAAAGCATAAATCTTGCAAACATATTATCATATTATATGATTTAATGAATTGTAAGGATTAATATCGAAGAAGAAATCTGAAAAAATGAAAGAAGAAATTTGGAAATGAACGTCTTGAAATTTCTTTTTACGTATTTCTCGTATATCGTATAAGTATCTAGTTAATAAGTTTTCTTCTCGTGCATCGAACGTATACATCAACACCTCCTGTAGCCTTCTAGATAGAGCGTATCTCCTCGCTTCGAGAAGTGCCGGCGTACATACGCGAGTTCTCGTATGCATCGTTCGCATTATACGATGCGTTTGACTATGTAAAGTTAAGAGCGACTTTAGAGTTAAGAGAAACTTCCACAAGAATGCTTCAAACTTTTCGCAAATTATCCCTTTTTATGATAAATTATACGCAAGAATTTCGCGACAATATTGTATATTTTACATGCATTAAAATATAATTTTTAATCACTGTACAAAAATACATAATAGAAAATGATTAAAATTGCAAAACTTAAAATTATGTTAAATTAAATAATTATTTATTAATAATTTAAATAATGATAATTTTTAGAATAAAAGAGAAAAATATGTATACAAAATGCGAAATAAATACTTTCTCGATTGAAATAAAGTAAATGCATAGATGCAAATTACGATAAAAAGAAATGTAACTACACAAACATATATATATACAGGATGCTTGTTTAAAAATTTACGAAAAATACAGTGTAATTGCGCTAGAACTAAATGCATTCTTCAGAATTCGCACAAGTATTTGACAGTTCGCGTAGGAATGCATGTACGTGAGCATAGTTGGACGCGGTCCGACACACTGAAAAGTTAATCGCGCTTCTTTACGGTACCCTCTTCGCAGATACATATCGTTGAAATATATCTGCCCTTGTCTGTGTATATGTGTGTGTGTGTATAGACCGCATATCGCGTTGTACTCGGCCGTTACTTTTACATAAATACGTACTGGTACTACATAGTACGTACTACTTGTAAAAGAGTTTGCTGTATTCAGTGCCATACGTAGACCGTTAATGCGCGCGGGACTTCCAGTATGTACAACGGAATCTCGTTCTCCACTACTTTTATAACGAAAAAAAAAAAAGAGAACATAAGAATCCAAGATATGAATTTATCGATGTTATGTTAACTTCAAGGCTAGAAATTTTCAAACGAAGAATTAATATTTGTCTTATTTTTATACTTTTGTTTTATTTTCTTATTCAATTTTTCTCGTGATATGACGTATGCTACATTTACTTGACATTTTTCAAGATATAAATCACGTTTTTTTTGCAATTATTCGTATTTAGATCATAATAAATGTGGATATTTATTTTATTACAATAAATAGATATATTACACGACATGATATAAAAGTCAAATATTTTTTCCGTAGCTTTATTTTACATAAAGTATAAAGCAAATTTAAATTGTTTTCTTGTCAAAAATCAATATTATGCAATTTAGTATTTCAAGATTGTAAAGATGCGCTTAATTCTATTTTAATTCTTTACTGTTATATAGCATATGGTATTCGAATCTTAAATTTTTCTTTCCCCTCCAACGAGTTTTATTTTTTTTCCGAGGCAAGATTGCCGAAGACAAGATTTGTATAAATAATCATGAGGAGAGAATTCTTTTTCCTGACACACGGAGTTACCTATTTACGTATCATATCTCAATCCCACTTTAATTGTTCCCTCACCATCTGCATTGTATTTTTAGTTACGGAAAATCTTGGAATTTGAAGGCACGATAGAACGCACACACACAGAGAGAGAGAGAGAGAGAGAGAGAGAGAGAGAGAGGAGAGATGATATACTATTGTACATATATACCCACGTATAATGTGTCAAAGTATGCAGAATTTCAAAATTACCTACATTCATAGACAATAACAAATAAGTATTGGTTCCATGAATGCTGAATTAAAACTTGGGTTATTTTTCGAAATGTATAAATATACCAATTTAAAATATTTTTCTTCTTTTTCGCGTTTATATTTTGCGCTGCGTATAATTACATATTTCTTTTTACGCGTAGGTATATGGTATGTTAGAAACAAAATTCCTCCGTAGCCCGCATACTTATGAACTAATTTTACGTGAAGAATGCGCTTGCATCAGAGCAAGACGCAATTCAAATTATGTCAGCTTGGAGTTTCAACGACAGTGTCCGCATCACGATTAATGAAATCGCCATCCGTTTTTAATGCCGCAGTTACTTCCGACTTTCTAATGTACGCTTATCGGCGTAACGATAATCGCGCGGTGAATAATTTATCGCTCTGCTGTCGATGTTCTGTCCTCGATGCCATCGATATTAATTTGGATAATTCTACGTGATTATATACGGACAAACCAACATAATATAGTGCTCTTGCGCTCGCGTTTCCTCGCTAACGTTCATTGCCGACAACTGTCTTCTCTATTAAGGAAAATAATTTTACGTAATAAATAGCAGCGAATAAAAGAAAATTATTTAAATGTATGAGTGTGTATATGATTAATCCCCGTCTTTTTGCACATCGTCTTATACAAATTGATGATAACTGTTTTAATATTAAATTTTGTTAATCGTACAAGTTTTAGAAAAATTCTGTCTCATTTCGATAAGATAATCGTCAAGATAATGTAATTATTTTTTTAAATTTTCTTTAATAAATATTCAATGCGTGTTAAAATATTTTTCAAATGTTAAAATAAAATTTCTCAGTACAACAGAAATTACACTATTATAACACTATTATAACAAAAAAAAGTAACGTTATTCGATTAAAATATTCTCAAGATACTAGAAGAAAAAATTTTAATGCTACATTTAAAAGGTAAAGCAAAAAGATAAAACTGTCTCTGAGGAATGTTTTTTTCTCGGCAAAAGCTAGAAATTCCTATGTCAATAGGAATGAAAATAAACATGTAAACTCGATAGCACGGTACGCCACTGATCTCGTCGCGCTGCGGCAGATAAAGTCTCGAGTCTCGATACATACTCGCTTCTAGAGGTTTCTCTGCCGCCTTTCTAAAATGGCATTCATCGGAGAAATGTGAGAGGAGAAGCTAAGAATCGTCGCCGTTGCAATTGCCCCTGTCTGAGTATTGCCGTCTCTATACAAATTGTTTTCGAGACGGTCCATTTATCCAAGATGACGTCTCTCTAGACATCTCTCGCATACGCGAAATTGCAATTGCGACCAATGCGGCGAAAGTCTCGCGCCACGATTACTCACGTCATTTTCTGCGGAGGTAATCACATGAATAGGCGTCGATGAGATAGCAGCAGTAATGATTGATCGATCTTTCTTTTCTTTCTATTAGCCATCTGACATCGAAACTTTCCTTTTTAACGTGATTTGCGTATGCCGCATAACGTGCAAAAAGTATCCGAAAAAAATAGCTGAGAATCTCGATGACTTAACTAGAAACTAAAAGAAAGTAATCTGACTATGTAACTAAAAAAAGAATTAAAAAAAAAAAAGTTACAAGATTTTTTTAAATCTCATTGTTAGATAAAATTAAAATCAAAATTGTTTCGATCAAATGATCTCTTTTCGATTATTACATCTGACATTTTATTATTTCTTATAAATTATGTGCTTGTCATTACTACTAAAATAATAACGCATCATTTTAGCCACGCATAATAACCATATACACACATTATGAAAAGTAATAGTAAATCAACCAATCAAGTGAATATGTTTTTTTTTGTTTTCCCAAATAGCAATCATCTATATTAGTATATAATCGTGTGTATAATTATGTGAGGATTAAATGCAAGAAAAACTATTATACTATTAACCGACAGAACTTTTCCCGTTCATTAAAAGGCATTATGTATAATCAACCCCTTTCCGTTTTATCAGTGTTCCGCAAATACAGAGTGCATAAGCACTGTCTTAACCGATAAAGACAAGTTGTTGCAATACTCGGATTGATTTACCGAAAACAATGTGATTGCGAAAACATCTTGCGATAGAACATTCTTTTTCTTCTTCTTTCGACAATCATTAGTTAGACGCGATCGTAGAAAGAAAAAGATTCGAATGCGCACGTGATCAAACATGTTTTACTTTCACATTACGATTGCGGAGATGTCGATGGAAATTTATTTACGGGAGAATGCAAATGCTCAAGCCAAGAACGTTACTTGACCACAAGATAGTGTCCTGTCATTTCTTACGCTTTATGATACAAATGGATGTTATAATAGCTTTGACTACGATTCGATAATTCAATTTACAAAAATGGACCGTACATGTGTTAATTAAGAAATGTATTATTAAAGTGTGATCAAAGTCAAACACATCATTCAAATGAACGATAAGAGTTATAATTATTTATGTCTTACTATTTATTATTATTTCTTTGTTTTTATAATAATTTCAAGATTACGACGTTATTACGATTTTACCAGTTTTACTATTTTAACTATAAAATGTGTGGTATGTGCTTAAAAAATATTCCGTTAAAATATTATCTTATTAAAATTATTATTTCAAGAAATTCACAATTATATCATGTCAATACACAATTCCAAATCTCTGCTCTTCCTTTTGGTATTTCTTAACGATCAATTCTTGCTATTCCAACCTTGCTACATTTTAATATATGTATTTTTGTTAACCTGTTCTCTTTACTATATTTTTTACTTTCATCTACATATGTATGTAGGGATGATATCCTTCTTAAATTTTTTTAGGAAGAAGAGCTCAATTAGAAAATGGTCCAAAGAATTTGCAGCACATCGTTATATACATCGTTAATTGTGCAAAATATTAGAAAGTGTCAATGAGATTGTGTCAATAGCCTAGAGAGCTTCCTATGCAATCGACCATACGTATGTCGCATCTTCCTGACAGTAGGTAGCATATGGCAACTGATGCAATCAATGCGCGAATAACAAATACGCGTGGCTATACGCCCTCCTTCGAACACAAATACCGTTCATTTTAACGTGGGAGCGCGCGAACGTCAACCATTCGATGTAACAATTCCGCGTCTTTAAATCGCTAGAATAAAATTTGCATCTACTATGCCATAACAATAAATATTTCGAGACAAAGAAATGTAGATATCCTTATAACGGAAGCCGAAGCATTAAGATTCGAGCAACAAATCGCTTAAAATGTTGGAAATATTTGCTTTATTTATTGAAATGCGTTATCGATAAATATGTTACGATCAAATTTGTCAGGAACAAAAGCGAGCAGTTTCCAATAATATCATCGGCGATTTTTGCCGTAGTACAATTTCGCACCTGGTCACTCGAAATGGAATGAGCGATCGGGTATACATAAGATCGAACAATTTAAATTACGGGCTATCGTGTTCTATCGTGGGACAACATACAGTGTTCCTTTCACCCAAGCGGCTTTCAATTGAGAAACGAGGAGGAAAAGGAGCAGAAGAAAGACAAAGAGAAGGAGGATGATATTACAGAGTGTGATCGCTAAGGAACGGTTCTTTATGAAGTCAAAAGCCTTGCTCTTGCTCTTTCTCTCTCTCTCTCTCTCTCTCTCTCTCTAATGACGCAATCCATCAGCTATGCGCAACTGTCTCCGCCGCCATTGTCATGCAGAATTTCCATATAATTCGCAATCTTTTATACTCACCAAAACGATGATCCCTCTTTTCCAAAACAATTTCACCCAAGTAGTAATCGCGTTGTTTCAAGGATACACCAATCTCGTCCACGGTCCTCAAGTTTGTCAAGTAGACGCTACAAAAAATATACTAGCTTATAAAAATTGTCGATTGCTGTTAATTGTCGATAATTCGTTAGTAATACGCGAAATTTACCATTTCCTCCATTTGGCATTCACTCTGACGGAATTGTAAGGTAAAATCGATTTTAGATCACCATCGTTACCCAAGATCAAGACAGGATCCTTGTGAGACTCATTCGTTAAAGTTCCAAGTTCTGTGTAAACGATGGTTGCCTGGATGTTATGTTTCAAATCAATGTGAATCAAGAACAACCTGTAACCATAATTTATAATTGGCCATTGAGTAATATATGTTTTATTTTCTGTTAAAATAATATATTTTTTTTGTTACAAATTATTATTGTCCAAGACAAATATATGTGTGTTCTCACCTATGATATAATCTATCATTTGTAGTAATTAATTTCAAGCATCCGCCGCCATTGTAGGAAAATCGATCGCAGAACTCGAAAGTATTGAAGTCAGGGGCAGATAATTTTTCTTCAATATTGACGACATTGTCGCAGACTCGTATAATATTCTTTCTATTTTCATATATACGTTCTATACGTGTGTGTGTCTTATTAGTATTATTATCTTTATCACCTTGGCCATTATTAACTTCATCGTTATTTTCACCATCTTCGAGAAGAGTTCTTTGTGTAGATCGAGTAAATTGTGAATTCGGCGCGGCAACTGACAGTTGCGGTTGCTGCATCCGCAAATTATAAAATGCTTTTTTTCCATGCGCGCTTTCGCCGTTTATCTTGTACAGTTCGAAATGCTCCTAAACATAGACGCGAATGTGTATGCTTCTTACGAAATTTAAATTGTTGCAAGTTAATTTAAAAAATTTTTTCGTTTAAATATCTTAATTAATTTTTAATTTTGATTATTTTTTAATGAAATATTTTTAAGTATTTTCAAACACATATATTAAGAGTTAAATATTCTTGTTTTTTATTATTTAAATTTACCTCGCCATTATAATAATAGCAGATACCGGCACCACGACAAAAGGAAGTTTTAAATGTTTCATCTTCATAAATAGGTACATGTACATATAGATATGGAAATAGTTGAGCCCAAAATAAATCCTCTAGAATTTGGAAAGTACTTGGACCAAAGTATTCATGTGTCCAACCAGGTGCAAAAATAGCTACCGAAAGACCATGTTTCCGTATTAAATCTAACGCCTTTAACAATAAAAATTTATTTTTGTTATCTCAGTTTAATCTTTCTCGAGATAATAAGGCAATAAAATAATAATAAATAACAATGATATAATAGTAATAATAGTATAATAGTAATTACATATGCCGAATTAAATCCGCCTCCACCTGGACATCCTCTCCCCCAAACATCCAATCCTACATAAATATCCTTAATATCGCGACCTAATTCCTTTGCGAATATACGACTTTTGCTAAGTCGTGATTCCGTCCAATTATAATTTAAAAATATACCGTCGCAATGTGAGAAAAAATCTCTAAGACAAAAATAATCATTATTTTGTGTTAGAACTGAGAAATAGAAATATGATGTTAAATTCAATATTAAATAAAAATTAATAAAAATCAAAGTTGATAAGTTAATAAAATTAATAAATTAAATTACTTATTATTGTCATTCAGTTCATTCTGCCAATTCAACTCCCCCTTATTGGTGACACTATCATACCAGATAATCTCTGAATTTTCAATTTCCTTGTGAATATTTTCTGTTAAATATTTAACGAAATAAATTAAATTATCAATATCTTCCTGTTTAATTTTATTTTCAATGTTCAAAAGCCAGCCTTCAAATTGGTAACACTTTGCAACCAATACTAAAGCGTCTGCAAATTTTTTTACATCTTCCTGTGATATGAGAATCGTATTCCAAGTATCATTATTTCCTTCTGTAATTACAGTACCCAATACTTTTACACCATGGTGGTGCGCTGCATTGATCCATCCACAGGGTGGGACAGTTACGAAGTGATGGCTAAAATAAACAAATATATCGACAACACTCCAATGGTAAAATATATAAGAATCATGAGAGGTAGAGCCGGATAAGAATCTGTAAAGAGATATAAAATAAAGGCGATAACATACATATGATCACACAATTTACAAAATATTAATCTCATACATAAATATATATATAATTTACAGATACTCTCTTTGTATAATTACCTGTCTTCCAAGTAACCACCTTTCATGTCGTGGCAGACAAGCGTTCTAGGCTGTTCATCCCTGTCCACTTTTTCCAGTAAAATTTTTTGCGCACTGATTTCTGAACCTCGATATACATAATCAACAGACTCTGCGATACATGTTATTGGTAACTCTGTTAATCCATTGTCCAAGGCATTGTTTAATTCTGTCAAGGTTTTAAAAGGCAGTAATTCTCTTACTTCGACGCTGCTTGCCATCTCTGTGATTCCTAATATACTATTATTGCATTCCATTGTTGCAAGTTTCGTAGTAGTATATTGCTGCAATAATCTTTCCTGCGTAGATATCACCGGAAGGCATGATAATTCATTCAAGCAAAAATAATTCCTGATTTTGATAGTGATGTTATTCATTGTGGTGAAATTAAGTGACAATTACCTACTCTTTTGATACCATTATCTGCCGACAGTTATCATGTATATACGATGAATGATAAAGAGCGAAACGGAAATTTATTAAACTCTTTAGTTGATATAAGTTATCATATTTTGACAAACTTTTATAAAAGCAAACTATATTTGCAAAGCAAAGGGTTTTCTTATTGACACAAACTTTTAACCGTGTCCGAACAATATTTACAATATGTAATAGGTATATATATTGTGCAAACTGCAAAAAATTCGTGAACCTCTTAACCGACGTCACAGACTCATATATACGTACACGTACATACATGACTTATCTTACATGCCCAGAATGTTTATCTTTTGGAACTTTTATAAATGTATATTTTTGTTATTATTGTGTGTGTTATGGTCTAATAAATATAAGATATATATAAATGTTAAATGTATACTTCGTATTATTATAATATTATATATGCAGTAAAATTTATAAGAATAAGGACAAAATCAACAATATCCATTACTTGAAATATCTACGTGATTCAACCAGATTCAACCAGATTCAACGCGATTGACGTGGGTTCTAAGTTCTAATTCTAATAGCGATAGCGCCTGCTAATACTCGCTTTCTTCACTGCGCAGGCGCGAGAACCTCCCCACTTGGGCTGCGTTCGAAAACATCACCCGTGTGCACACGAGCGTCGTTCTATCTTTGTTATTTATCAAAAGTTGAACAAAGATAGAATAATAGCTCGTATGCACACGGGTAATGTTTTCGAACGTGGCCTTACTGGCGCTAATAATAATATAATTTGAATTAGTTGTTGCACGCTACAGGATTGCGTTTATCTCGACGTTTAACAATAAGTGTTGAAAGCTGATAAAAGTATCTTTGTCCCGATTGATTAATCAAAAGCTTTCGGCACTTATAACGTCAAGACAAACGCAGAGCCTAAATGTATATATATAATTTTATATATTTCGTTAGTCGGGAATCGACAGATTTTTCATTTGTATAAATATAAATATTTCGAATATTGTTATATTTGCGTCTATAATTTTAATTCATATCGGAAAAAATGTACGCTAAATATACATTGTCGTTTAAATATATATAAAAACAGTTTAACACTCGAAGTGAATATATATATTATTTTGCAACTTATATTCTAAAACAATAAAACTATTATATTTTCAATATAAAATATAAAAATAAATATTCAGTAATAAAAGTTTTATAGATTTATATGTCATATAATTATTATATACCATGTAATATATATTACACGTATATTATATGTATGTGTATATTATTTGATCAAAAATAATTGGAATAAAAATTTTTTATTCTGTACAATGTAATATACTTAATAAGTTAAAATGCAAGTTAAAAATTAATTTAATTAATGTACTTAAATTAAAAAGACTGCATAATAAATATCATCGCAATAAAATACAACGTTCGTATATCACTATATAAATTGCAAAAGATGGCAAAATATAAACATCTACACACATTGTGAGATCTTTCTTTATTTGGAATACAACTGTGTTGTTTTGTAATGACATATAATCGCAGGAATACATTATAAACACAATATCGCGCTTAAGATGATTGGAAGACATACGAGATATATCCATTATACAAATGTGAACAAAAGCAATGAGTGATACATTTCCACATAGATGGTCCCGCGATAATGTGCTATTTTCATCTTACAAGAATTTCTTTAAAAAACTTACAAGCACACAAGGAGTGCACCGCATACTAAATGGTCGATTCGACAAATGTGGATTGTCGATAATTGGTGCTGAAAGCTATTCTATAATTAATTTCACAACTAATCCTTGTAAAGAGGGATATTCAAAAATATTATTTTCCCAGAACTACGTTTTTCCTTCGTAACAATCCAACATACATTGGCGATTACTTTCTTAAACATAGAAACTATAGGTTTCAAAATCAGACAAGATATATATAGGCAGATTGATAAATGTTGAATAAGTGCGATAATTGAAGGAACAAGCAGGTGAAACTGATATCTTTTATGCAACAAGTAGGCGAATCAAAAACTGTTTTAAGTTCTATTTTTAGGTATTAATTTTGATTTACGCATGGAACAAATCGAAAATTTAAAAGAGAATATATGTATTACTAGACATTACAATTAAAGTTCTGAATACTTCTATATCAATATCTCGATAATTTTTTGATGCTGTAAAAATCTTTTTCTTTACTTATTTCATTTGATCTATTCTTCATCTCTTTAACAGGATTTCTTACCGATTGGATTTTTTTATATAAGACCATCAACATAATTTCTAAATCAATTTAACAAACACCAAAGAGTGCAACATTTAATTTTCATTCCTTTATTTATTTGTTCCTTCAATTGTTAACAAACACTCAACCACACACAAACATTGTCGATTTGTATTTCTGTGCGTGTTCTATCCTCTACTTGAAACGAATAACGGCAACTAGATGTTCGATTAGCCCTGGCACATGAAAGAGAGATCAAATTTTCCGGCCTAAACTTGTAAATTGTTAGACAAAGTTATTTTCGGGATATGTGTGTGTATATATATGTATATCACATTAGACACTACCCATCTATGTAACTATCCATAAATAATCGATTTTTTTATCATCATTGTGGTCATAAAAGTATACAACTATTTGTCATCACTTTTTTTTATGGGTCCTTTTAGCTACAAAGAGGGACACTAAACTTATTTCTCGATACGACTACTTCACGTTGAAGAATAATCTTCCGATATAATAAAATACTCTAGAAATATGCTTTATTTGTTTAACAAAGGCATTATAAATCACCAACATTGCTATACGAAAAAGTTGTATAACAACCGGAACACCGTGCGCGCGGTTATTTTTTTATAATCACGAGTCGTACAAAGTATATATGCAATCTTCGAAACTAGCTAAAGAGAGTTTACAAAACTTAACGCAAAAGGTGTAATTATAAAAGTAAACGTCGCGATTTGCCTATATAAAATTGCAGTTTCATCAATTAGTTTTAATTTTACATTATTATACGCGGATTGCATACAACGTTGTCTCTTAATACTTGATTCTTTGGATAATCTATATAATATGCATGTATATAATATACATGTAATATTCTACTGTATGTACGAATATTATTGTACGAATTTATATATGGAATATAAATATATAATATTGTGCACACATGTTGAGTCGAAAGATATTATATGTATATATATATATGTCGGGAGATTATATATGCTATTTTCTCTTCAATAATGTGATTATTCCAGTTGGCTGTATAATCTAATAGCTACGTACACTCATCACGCATTAAGCATTGAATAAATATTTATTTACTTTACACATAAGAATATTTTAAGAGCTCTTTAGACGATCTATAATTCGCGACAAAATTGAAGACAGTATTCTATTTATAATTCAACACATCACATGTTTTAATGTCTTCTATACATATATATAATATACATATATTTTGATTTATATATGTATTTTACATGCTCAAATGTTTTCTGTAATGCACGACATATAAAATTTATAAATAGGATACTATCTTAAATTTTGTGATAAATTATGAGTCGTCAAATGAGATGCTCTTATATATAAAAAACGGAATTTATATAAAACAAAAGATCTACCATGCATGAATGCTGAATATGCGATGAGAATACAAGCTACGGCATTTGAATGGTATATCTATAACATACTTGTCGAAATAGTTTTTATATAAGAATGTAATATGTATCTTAGTATATTTAGAATAAGAAGTTCGGAGAGAGGGGAGTCCGGATAACTTTTGTACAACTTTAATATAAAAAGTTTAAGAAGCAGAAAATATCGAGTACCTCTACCAATAGTCACATATCTGCGCACAGGCAGTTGCACACACAAAGTAATCAAACAGTTTGAAATTTACCCGAGTCTTAATGTAATGCAAGATTCGAAAGTCATCTTTTACGATCGGCTTTCGCACAATATACGTCTGCTAGCGATCGAGAATAACAATATCGTATATGCTAAACTACTATTGGAATTAGCGAGAATATCATGATCAATAATGCAGCATCTCTGGCATTGCTAATATCGATTACAAAAAAATGGCGTCTAGAGTGGAGTTGCCGGTCATAGGAACAACGATAATTTCCAAGTCTTGGGAATAAATAGTATAAAGGGATTACCGTTTAATTTAAGTCTATATCGCTCTCGTCAATCTCTTATATATATCATGTATCTCTATATATCATATAAATTATTGTTACTGGGGGTTTTCATTACTCGTTGACATCACTCTATCGTAAGTATATATATATATAAAATGAAATAAATTATACGATCTCGACTAGAATATTTGACTGTAGGCTGATTAGGATATGATATGATAGAGATATGACAAAAATTATTCTGTAAGTCGAATTATATTGCATAATCGATTAATCGCAATTAAACTCATTGTCAGTAAGATTGTTTTTCTCAACTACTGGTCTATATATGACGAACCGATGTACATATTTGCATATTGTGATTATATAATTTATAGATTTATAGGCCGATGTCTACAAAAACATTTTTGTATCTATACAAATACAAATCTTTTAAATAAATCATTAACTACTAATATAACTAAAAATATATCTACGATTCAAATCCAGATTAACAATAAGAAAATCATCAAAATTTACGTGGAAAGTATAATAAGCTCTGTCTTTTAAAATTGATAAAATAGAGAAATAAATATATTAAAATTATCAATATATATTGGCTTTTTACATGGAAAGCATTCATTACGTTGGAAATTATCCATTTATTAGTAGCTAAGAAAAAAATATCAGTAAAGTTACGTAAAAATAAAATTTAGGCAAACAGGCTCTCTGTTCTCACTCATTGAGGGTTTTATAGAAACTATCTAGACTAGATATTCTATGTTCTAGGACTATGCCTTCAATGCCGTTTTGATTGAATATATAACACCAAAAACTGAAGGCACGTCCTCAATTGAGAGAAGGCGATTCTTCCCTACGATAAAAAAAAATTACAATCATTACTTAACATGAAAATTCGTCAAGTGCAAACTCGTGTAAGTATAAGCTCATATTCAAATAATTTATCATTTTTAAACATAAAATTATATTTAAAATACATGAGATCACACATGCAGACTAGAGACCAAGAGCGTGGAAAGGGTGAAACAAAAAAATGTCGCTATTAGCTGGCGCCATTATTTACAAGTGCAGCTACATTGAATCATACAGCGCAATATTGTACTTTTGCATATGTACGTGAAAAGATTATACGTAACCAAACTGATAAAGCATACGAATTAGACATTATTCTACCATCGTCATTACTCCAAGTTGTAGGACAAAATAGGTCGAGTTTGCTTATACAGCACCATTGAGCGATGACATTTTCCGGACAATGAGATTAATATTTTCTGCACGCGGGTTGATACTCCTATCTCTAGTCTTCATAGTAGAGATTTGAAACTCGATAGGTTTTGAGATGGATCTGGTTTGTTTATCAAGACAGCCAACAAACTATAATTGGCCTTTTTTATGAAATTATTTTATAATTTTTCGCTTTCTTTTTTTTCATTCAATTCATCAACTATTCGATTTTCGCCTGCCATGAAAGAATCAATATTAATTAACCTCTTTCAAATAATCTTTTAAATTGCGTCAATTAAATGACTTCCTATCGATTGGTCTTTCAACAACGTTAACGATATTGCGATAATCAAAGGCAAGCAAGTTTTTACGATTCGGCGGGTGAGTCGTTATCAAATGCTTTAGAAACTTTCATCGATGCCTCGATCCCGCGCTAAGTTGAAAACTTCAAAGTCGCTGTCGGGCGCCTCGGGTATATCGGGTGCGACCAAAATCTCAGGTCGCAGTGCCACGCAATCCCTCGGTGAGCATTCGACGCGCCCTTCGGAACCGCAGCTGCATTCGACGCAGTTCCCGGTCGAGTGCGGTAGAGTCTCACCTTGTCGATACTCTCTCCCTATAATTCAAGTCTCACGATGCATGAAAAAGTCGGAGAAAGATGGAGATATATATATACACACACAAACACAAACAAACAAACAAAACACACACACACACATACACACACACACACACACACACATATATATATATATGCATGCATATAGCATATAAAAGTAAATATTATAAGCGACAAAAGTAAATTTTATAAGTAAGTCCTTAAACATATTCTTGTAATCATTGTTACAATTTAAAATTAGAAACAAATTACAATAAAAGTTTAAAATTTTGTTAAAATTAGATTATATGTATAAATAGTTATGAAAATTTTTTATATGTATAGATATATGTATATTATATGTGTGATTTTTTTTAAATATTGAGTTGTACTTTTGATGAAGAATGTCTCGACCGATATAAATATTAACAGAGAGTTATTAAAGTATTAAGGAAGGTATTAATACCCATGACGAGACAAGTAATCGGTACAGGAGACGTAATCGACAAGGTGGCATTAGTTTCTACATGTCCTTGTTGGCCAATCGATGAATCAAAATCTCCGGAAGCTTCAAAGTCGTCCACAATGTCCGTATTCATTTCTAGAGATGAAGTGTAATTGCTCTCCATCACGGTCGATCGCAAGGAAGACAAGCCGAGCGATGGAGCGCTGGTCGGATTATAATTCTGCCACCAACAGTAAACTTCACCGACGACGCATAGGCAATGAGAATTTATGTCGTAAGATGGTATCTGAAATAAAAGGGCGTATTGAGCGAAGAATCAGTAAAAACTGAATCTTTGATATGTGCGCGTACATGTTTGTGTGTAGATATATGAAAATGTACAAAATAACTAAATTCTTTCTATCTTAGATTTTTTTTTTTATTATATATCATATAAGAATATACGCATAGCATAGGTATAGTTATATAGGAGAAAGTGGCGCGCTATATACTACATATTATACAATGGGCATCAAACTCATTTATTCAACTCATCAATTTAGAAAATAAATTATCAAATTTGCGCGAAAATAATGGCTAAAAATCTATCACAAAGTGGCAAGCTAGAAATTTAAGATTTGTGTAAGATATGTTCGAATAATGAAGACTATGAATCATGGAGACTTCATTTTGCGAAATTTTTTGATAAAGAGAAAAAAATGAAAATATCATATATCGGTGTTATTATTATTCTCAGTAAAGATTTTTATAGAAATAGGTATCGTCTTCAACTTTTCTTGTTATTTCTTTATCTGGCGTAGAAAAAAATCTCGGAAACGAATTTGTCTCTATTTGATTCTGTGAATCACAGAATCACAAAATCACATGGTACATCTTATCAGTCGTTACCGTTTGGCTGTGAGAATAGGCATTTCCGTCTACGATGCATTTTTTAAGAATAGGTTCCTGCGTTGTGACATCGTCCTGAAGCGTAATAGCGACTTCACCCAACAAAACCGGACTCGTAGCTCTCGTCGGTGCTGCAATCAAAATCAGAAATCAGAGGTCAGTGGTCTCATCAATGATTGAAAGATTGAATAAGAATCTCCATCTCCTGAGAGTCTCTCTCTCTCTCTCTCTCTCTCTCTCTCTCCCTCTCCCTCTCTCTCTCTCTCTCTCTTTCTCTTTGCGCGAAAAAACAAACGCGAATTCCGTTTTTGATGCGCGCTGGCGCAAAAGTATTTTATAATGTCGACGAAGCACACGCGCGTGTTTTGCGTAAAACGGGTTTAACGTATCGCGCTACATCCCCTTTGCGCGAATCGAGCTGGTCGCGCGACGTTCATCACTGCTTCGTGTTCTCGTTTTGCAGCCGAAACCGTTCCGTGGACCGGTGAAAGGATGTATTTATCTACCGTACGGGGGGGAGGACGGGGGGTAGATTGGCGTCAAACTTTTTATACGAAAACTATGCGAAAACGAGATCTACGATGACGGTTAGCCGCTTTATTTCTCTACCCCACGATAGAGATATTTTTTATATACACGCGTGTGAGAGAGAAAAAATATATTATATATACCTTCCAGCCGAGAATATTCCGTTCTAGGTATAATGCACTCTCTTACGTGTCTTTCACATAAATATTTTTCATTAACTAAAGAATCG